GATGAAACTTTCCGAAATCACAAAATATTTCCCCCACTGGGGGTCTGTATACTTCGTGACTTTGTCCCCGGATACCGGGTCGGTATACACTTTATTATCAAAGATTTTATTCAAGAAAATGTCAAACCTTTTCGTCAAAAAAAACAAGTCAAATATTACGACGCCATTCGTCATATTGAATATTGTAAAAAAGATCTAGATCTAGATCTAGTTCGAATAAAAAATATCAAATATCTAAAAATATTTTAAACACTAATAATTTGCAAAGGATTTATAAAGTAAAGTCAAAATTCGTGTAAAGCAGAAAAAATTAACAAGAGAAGTGTTGTAGAATTTCTAAAGGTGACACGGGTCCATAGCAAAAAAAATACCCATGCCATGTGCAGGCGGTATTTTTTTACTTTCCCTTTTAGAGCTCTACTAGATCTAGTTGTCCATTTTCTACTATATTATTGATGCGCTGAACACGAATATCAACTTCAATGTCTTCATTTCCGTCGCAAATGAATAGTTTTTGAAATTATATATTTGATTGTTTTTAATCGAGAGAGACGTGCTTTGGACCAATCATGGTGTTCCAGGGGAGCCTGCTCCCCTGAGGTGAAAGAAAATCTTGGGGGTTACAGGCATGCCCCCGTTTTAACCATTAATTGATATTTTACAGTTAGATTTGAAATTTTCTTGGAAATAATTGAATTGCGACAGTTTTAGTGGCTTTATTTGTGATCTGCAGCAAACAGTAGCAGTTTGACCCCTGAAGCAGTGCATCTGTGTGCGGGAGTGAAAGTAAAAGTTTACCCAAATAATTTGCGATGGTTGGATTTAAAGTCGAAATTCAAGTAAATAAAAGGGAACAAAAATTAAGCTAAGACACAATACTGTGTGTGGTACTGAGCAATAAGAATTTTTACGAAAGTGAAACTGAAATTCAAGGCCTTGCCTAGCCTATAGATTTGTCCGTAGAGAGTACATCTTGATCTAGATCTAGTGTCTAGTGTAATTAAAATCCTACTAAATGCCTTTCAAATTGATATTACCCTGAACTACAGGGCACTCTTCGGGAGAAGCGGTCCCGGCCTATCTCCATAGAAATTTGCCTAGACATCTAGATCTAGATTCTACACAAAATTGAAAACAAAAATGGAAGTCGAGTAAAAACTGAGTTGCACGGGTGAAAAGGCTTTCAAGTAAATTTAAAGAAAAGGGTCCAAACCCCACTATTTTTTTAACGGGTTTTTTTTTCGGGCGCTGATAATAATTTAGGCACTAAAAACTGTCACAAACCATTATTTTTCTGGATTTAGCATGGGGGAGACCCCCTTTTTTTTGTAACAAACGACACCCGTTTTCGTTTCCGATGATTGTGTGTACATTTCTTTCAGCTGCGGTCATTGGTACAATAGTACGTACAACTCTAACTAGTTATCAGTACAATTGTACCAATAACCAGAGTTATTCGTACAATTAATCGAAATTTGGAGGTTGTCTGTAAAAATAAACCAAGATCACTAGACCTTGTCATCCAGGTGGTTCTCCCCTGGGTTGAGCATCAATGTAATAAGTTTAACCAGGCCTAAATTGGTAGGCCTAAAAGGAAAAGTAGGCTAGATCTATACTCTAATTAAAATGTAAGTAGATCTATATGACTATTATTTATGTTTCTTTGTTTTTACACAATAACCAGGAGTGGAAATCTTTGAAATCAAAACAAACAATTATGGGAAAAAAATTGTTGGTCAGTCGAGGGAGGAGAAACAAGAAGGAAAAAAAACAACAACTGGGATTCGAACCCACAGTCATAATATAGAGTCTAATACTTCAAACGAAGACACGCTGTCATTTCAGCCATCAGAACTATCAACAGAATGAGGTTAAATATTTTTACAGCACGGTTTCAACGCAACACACATTTCTAGATCTATCTAGATCTAGAGATAGATCTAATCTAGACTTAGTTGGGGTTTTTTACATGGGGGGAACACTATCAATGAGGCGGCTGGCATCAAATCGGCAGATGAGGTCTGACGAAAAATTTAAGGAAGAGGCTAGCCGTACTTAATGACGGCTAGACTGGCAGTCTAGCCGTACTTATTCTTGATGGCTAGACTGATCATTTACAAAAAAGAGGCCAACTGAATTGTAAATATATACATTTTTAGTGTGCAGTACCTAAAGTATTTGTATTTGAGACGAAACCAGGTGCCTTAATGACAGTGCATGTATTTTAAACCTCCTGTTTTCTAAGGCCACCTCTATTCTCACCCGGGGTGAGAATAGTGCAGGCGAGTCTTTTGGCTATTCTCACCCGGTGCGCGTTCACCGTTATATCCTAGATCTAGGCCAACAAATTTTGCGTTCACCCTAAACCACAGAATTCTACACTGTGATTGTAGAATTCTGTGCTGTGAACAAACGTTCCATTACAACTGTACTTGTAGCCTACTAAAAGCGTACAATTTTGTCTGTGGGCAGTGGAGAGAGAGAGAGTGGGAGAGAGAAAGAGAGAGAACAAAACAAAATGGCGACCCGCGTAGTTCGGCTCGATTCGAAAAGTTAAATAGCTGTAGCATCTTGGTAGACAACCAAATTAATTTACTTTTGTGTTTTAACATCATTTTTTAACTTTGTTTTGGTCAATTTGATCGTCCACACCGATAGACGTATTCAGAAAGAGACAGAAAGAGAGAGAACAAAGGAGGAGTAGATCTTGCGAGAACTTCCGGGCGGGTGAGAATAGCCACTTTCTTTTCTAATGTTAATAGGGCCTAAGATAAGTACGGCTAGACTGGTAGTCTAGCCGTACTTAAGTACGGGTAGACAGCCAGGCTAGCCGTACTTAAGGACGGCTAGACTGTCAGGCTAGCCGTACTTAATATTGATGGCTGAATTGTAAATGAAATTTCTAGTTTGCAATGCCTAAAGTATTTGTATTTCAGACAAAACCAAAGGTGCCTTACTGACTTGCATGTATTTGAACCTGAATAATTACTAGATCTAGATCTAGATCTAATGAGACCTATGTACTTAACAGGCTTGAGTCGATAGGGCCAAACCTAGATATCTAAGTACGGCTAGCCACTTCGAAAATTTAAAAAGTTCAGGTGGAATATTGGAAACACTGATTTTTCTAGATCTAGAATCTAGATTTTAAATTAGATCTACTAGATCTAGATCTAACTTCTAAGACAGAACATGTAGGTAGTAGGCCTGTGGGCATAGACTAGAGTCTAGATATCTAGATCTAGGCCTACTCCTACTAGATTCTAGATCTATGAATATTGTAATACGGATACCTTTAGCACTTCGACGACTTCGCACAATTGTGTGTACAACGTTGTACGGATAACTAGACAGAGTAGTTCGCACAATCGTACAGTACAATGTTGTACGGATAACTAAACAGAGATGTTCGCACAATTATTTGGTACAGTATAGTACGGAAAACTAGACAGAGTTGTTCGCACAATTGTACGGATAACCACTCGGTTTCTTTCTATTATGATAATTATGGCATGGAGTTAGGCAGGGACCACTTCTCCCGAAGAGAGCCTACTAGGCCTATGTTTAATAATTATTGAGTATCAAATCAATAACTTCACTATTTGACTAGATCTAGATCTAGATCTAGATCTAGATCTAGATTTACTGACATTATCATCAGCTGACTCTGGAGCGAGCGATCACTACTGTGGTCATCACACTCCACAAGAAACGTGTATCGAGAAACGGTTCGACACGGCTCGTTACTGCTGAGGCTGAAGATCAATTCTATAACTTTTATTTTGAAGAACATTGTCCTATTCTAATGACTCTAGGAGTACATATTGAGTACTTTTCGTCCTGCATGAATATGGGGGCAAAAATAACAATCGTGTGCAAGAAGTAACTTCCTAGAATTTTATATACTTACGTCGCATCTCGCAACGGAGCTTTCACAATCACATCGACCAAAACAAATGCCACAAATTCCAATCCTATGTAATAGAAAGCGGCGTACATCCAGCCAACGATCGCCATCTTTATTCCCCAAAGAGCTGTCAACAGCTCGTCAAATGATCTCTGGGAATAAAATTAAGTATTTTAACCATTATTTTACATTTCCTTGAATGTCTCTGACACAGACAAGACCGGTTGTTTGAATTTGGGCCAAAATGGCGGCTAAACAACTTGTATGAAATATAGGTCATGTAGCTAAAAAATAAAAAGTATGACGCTTTATACTTTTTTTTCTTTTGAATAGAAGACTAAAAACCTTAAAGGATGATGAACAGAAACGAGACAACCCAAGTATTTCTTTTTCCGTTGTTTGTTTGTTTTTGTTTTTGTTGTTTTGTTTTTTTAAGTTAATTATTTTTTGAAAATAAGATAAGCAAATCAGACATATCTTGACGAACAAGCAGCAAACTTAATTATTTTCTGTCAACAAAATGGAGGATAGCACGATAGATCTATATCTCGTCGATACTATTCGCAAACCCAGATTTATTCCATGGTCCGATATAAATGTCTTGTGTTTAAACTCAAATAAATGACTTTAATTGTGAGAGTGTGTAGCCCTATGAGCTTGTAACCTCCTTGGTGTAGCCCCAAATCGCACGTAATTACTTTTATGCTATTTGGTGACGAGCATGTATTTTCTGTCCTTATGCTCTCTAGTCTTTACTTAATGTCTTAATCTTGAAAGAAGTCAAAACAGCAAACCCAACCTGGAGCAATCGACTGTAACAAGGGAAATAGCCACGATTATACCGAAATGCCACATTAAAATTGTCTTACGTCCCCTCTGCTTTTTAGCAGAGAGTATTTAATTATAGTGTCTCTGTTTTTAGTTCGAGGTGGTATTGAGAAAATTAATATTGTGGCCCATAGATGCAGTTTTAGAACTACTTTTTTAAAAAGATTAGAGCCAAAGTTACGGATATTTTATGACCTAAATAAGCATATACAAATTCGTTAAGTGTTTGTTGATTTTTGCTTACGTATAATACGCCGAAAATGATATTATTTATTTATCATATTATTGTGGGCCAGCCTTTCAGATGTACTTTGCTCAACATGTTTTGTTTTCCTAAACATTCGTTTCTTAATATGTGGGAAAGTTTGCATGTGCTCGAGAAATATTTTGTCGAAATGCAAGTTCTTAATGTTGAAATAACAACAACAACAAACAACAACAACAAAACAAAACAAGAAAATATGCATAATGTAGGAAACAATCGTAAAAAAAAAGGAAACAGTTGTTGTTGTTGTTGTTGTTGTTGTTGTTGTTGTTGTTGTTGTTGTTGTTTGTTTTGTTGTTGTTTTTTCTCCTGAAAATGTTGGTTCTTTGGCGTAGGATAATTGAACAGCTTGCCGAAAATACATAATGTACATGTATTCATGTATTTGCAACACAAGACACCTAATTATCTGCTTCGAGCAGGTTAAAATGATCGGGCAACTGTCCCCTGTTAAAATGATCGAGCAACTGTCCACTGTTAAAATGATCGGGCAACTGTTCACTGTTAAAATGATCGGGCAATTGTCCACTATCCCACAGACAAATGGTAAGTTATTCTCGTTATGCATATGACAGCATGTGTGTTTATAAAGCTTCCACTCTGGGTGGGTGGTTGGCCAGTGCTCTGGTGTGGTTTGCTCCTTCTTTCCTATCAAACATCTATCGTCCGACTCCTTATCTCCCCTCCTTCTTTTTTATGTTTGTTACTCTCTTGCAACACCTCTAATCTTCTGGAGCTCATATTATGACCTTATGCAGTTGCGAGCGCCGTAAAACCCTCAACTAAAACGAAAATTCCATTCAGGGTTTTCATTTCTTCTAGTTCTAGTTTCAGGCCTGGACAACCGTCGCGGCGATCGTAGGCCGTGACCTAGACAGTCTTAGAGCATATAGGCCCTGACCTAGGCCCTGACTCGTTTAGCTGCCTGGATACCCTTTAAAAAGTTTTTAAAATACAAAACAAACAAAAAGAATCCTGTATTATCCTGATCAAAAGTAACAGAATGTATTACCATAGTATAATGAACAAATAATCCCTTTTCTATTAGAAGGCACGATCTATGGGTGTTACTTTTGTCGTGTTCATATGGTGGTTTAGTCGGTCTATCTCTCTTGGTTTGGGGACCCCGCCC